CTTCCGGCGAGCAGGGTTCTAATCCCACGGTACGTTCAATTCCTGTGCTCTTTCGACGCGTCATTGACGCGTGTTCATCAAGTTTTTAGCACTACTTGCAACTCAAACGGGATTTTAGCCATACCTCCAACTCAAAATTCGATTTTTCGCGTTCCCGCGAGCGGGGTTACGTGTTCAAGTACGTTATAACTTGTGCTGCTGTAATTACGCGTCGTTTACGCGTTTTTCTCCAAGTTTTGCCCTTGCGTGGACCTTAATATCTGTCCAACGCCGTCTGAACCCTATCGGTAAGTCACTTTGAATTATATCTTTTGTTGAACTTGAAAATCAATCCCTAGCGCCAATTTTTCAAATATTTCGCGTTCAATTACGCCGGCGAGTTAGATCTAATAACGCCACGCCATCACAAACGCGTCGAAACCTCAACTACACCACTCGCTAGTTCAATTTTACAAGCCATACTGCTCAAACTTAGTCAATCAAACTTCAATTACAGCGTATGTGAGTTCGATTTCGCATTTACCTCCCTGATTATCTACGCTGACCATCAAAACGCGACTCGGGCTTCCAAAAACGCGTAAAACACGCAATTCAACACTGCTCGGGGATCTCGGCCGATCCCAACGAGTTCATTTTCAAGTAGTAAGTCCCTGTTTCTGCGCTCAAGGAGGACGCATTTTTGAACGATCATTACCTCTAATATCCCCAATTTTTTCCCGCTCATATACAGCCATTACTTTCCTTATTGTCTCTGTCTTCCGAAAAGAAAATCTATTGTATTTTTTTTTGGCTGGGTACAAGTCGAACCTTCACTATTTAAGCTTTCTGCGAATGATGCCTTGACCCGTTGATACGCGGCGGAGAGATCAGTCTAAAATCGCGTTACAGTAATGGGTTAATTGGTAAGTAGTATGAAGTATGGTGTGAGTAGTAGTGTACATTGGATCGCCTCCCTTTGAACTCCCCTCTCGTCGTGTGTTGCAATTAACGATAAGCAAACTCATGTAGCGTACCCGTTCCCATGTCGATCGCGCGCCACGGGCACGGACGTCGGTGCCGCCACGGGGTCGACGGACCGCGAGCGCGAGCGGTTGGAGGTGCTTTCGCCCACTAGGGCCGAGCGTGAACGGCTGTCGCCGCGTGAGCGACTATTGCTATTGCCATCGGCGCCGACGATGTTGCCCATCCCGCCGCGGCCGGAGGATCTCTGAATATTCAACAGGTAAGATAATGTGATTGGAGAAACGCAACGCACGATCGGACTCTTGCTCGCATCCGCTCGAAGGGAGAGCGACTGGTCGATGGGCGCGGGGCTGCGGCTGAAGTTGCCTGAGCCGCCGCGGCCGGTTGAACGTGCTGTTGGTTCGATTGAGTTTGTGTTTGCACCTGCGCTCCTTCTCCTTCAGGCCGGAAGGCAGGCACGCGCTCCCGGCCGCGAGGCCAGGGGAACTCTTGCGATTGAACTTGTGCCTCCGAAGCACTGGTCGAATGGACATTGCCGGCGCCGCCACGGCCGGAGGAGTGCTACATGTGTAGGTGAGAGGGTAAGGAGGTGAGGAAGAGGAGGATGGGACGCACGAAGCCTGCGTCACGGCCCCGGGAGCACGAGCGGTCTGCGAGGAGGGATGAAGTTATCAGCGAAGGAGGTGTGGTTGAAGATCAAGGACGTGGTTGAAAGATAATTCGTAACGAGATAAGGATGGCGGCAGCGAAATAAATCTCCACCTCTTATCTCTCCTTCCTCCCAACCACCACCACGGCCACAAACTGCTTGTTTACATACCTGCTCCCTCGACAATAGTGCTCGCGATGCTCTCCGTCTCCGGGTCGTATCTGGCTGGACTCTGACTCGGCCGGCGCTTTTCGCTGCTCAGCGCCCTATTGATCTTTGCACCCACGGCGGAGATGCGGTCCGAGAACGTGTGTCGCGCGCTAGGCGACACGGAGTGCTGTGGGCTGGCCATTCTGCGTCTGGCGGTGGGAGTGGTGAAGGCGTCACAGCTCGCCAACTGTTCCCGCCACTCGCGGCGGTCCTGCGTCATCACGGCGTCAGGTGCACGATCGCCCTCTTTTCATCTCACTCAGTCTTACTCACGCGCTGCTCTCCCTCCCTACCACCCGCTGCCTCCAACACATAGCGCTGCATCTCTGCCCCGCCTCCGCTCTCCCCCATTACCTACACACGACTTATTACTCCGATATACGTCTTGCTCCCTCGCCGCGCCGTCGCTCTGCACCCATGCCCACCTCCAGCTCCACTTCCGCAACGGCACGCTCCCCGCCTGCGCCCGACACCGCCTCCGACGAGTCGCACTCGCTATTGCGCGCAGCGGGCCCAGCGCTTGTACTCAATCGCGCCGGCGCTGTCCTGTGTCGAATCCCGCGCGCCCAACGTCCATCTTCACCGCCAACGCATCCCGACCGAATCGCGCCGGCACTGTGTCGGATCCCGCGCGCCCAAACTCCCTCTGCACCAACTCGCATACACCGCTCCATTCAATCTGCGCTCCCACGTCCCTGCGCCGCGTCGATTGACGCGTCTCGGGTTCCTGTCGCATCCGACGCCGTTTTGCGCCGCGTCGAGTCGTTCCCGTTCGCGCTATCGTTCCGCTTCAAATCGAGCCGTGTCGGGAGGGAGTCGCGTCGACTCGTTGCGAATCGAGGGACGTCGGGGTGAATTGCGTCGCTGCGAGTCGGACCAAATCGAGACCAATTGGGACCTGTGCGCATATGTCAGTAAAACGTAGCAGTTGAATCAATTTCAAACCGAAACTTACCTGAGTTATAAACCCAGTGCGCCAACGGCGATGCGATGTGCGTCAAGTTGCGAGTGACATCGCGAGCAGTACGGTCCGAGACGGAACGCGGAAGCAAGCTCTAATTCGGTAACAAAAGCTGTAATTTGGTTAGCATGCAAATTGAATCGGTGATTGGAACTCCAAAATACCTGCGTGGATTTTGAGTGCAGACAGCTTTGAGCGTGCGCACGGGAACTGCGAAGATGGTGAATTGTGAACATTGCTGGATCTTAGAATAATTTGAAGGAGACGCGTCGTTGGATGATATATAGGCGGCGGTTCAACACGGATATATGTGGCGGTTTTTTCTGGGCAAAGAGGCGTCAGATTATTGTTGAAAAAGAAAAGAGCAAGCGGAGATAGGCCTAGGGCTCACTGGGAATCTCGAAGGAACATCGATAGGTCTTCTGTTTGGATGACCTGAGTTGGAAGGATGCTGCGAACGCGTCAGGAGCAGTATGGGGGATCGGCGGAGTGTAGTAGATAAGTACCTTGGTTGTAAGACTGCTTGAGATAATCGAACTTGAAGATGGGTTGCATGGAGGATGATATCTGTTTGGTGTATATGGAGCCATAGCTCTAATATATAGAATAAAATACATGGCGCTAGCCGTGGCGCGCGTTGTGTAATTTTACGGCGCCAGCTGTCTGCACGGCTAGTGCTGTGCAGGCCTCCCAGGGGCTTTCGGGGGGGTATTTCGGGACCTCCCGGTGCATTTGCGTGTATGTATTCCTTGATGGGAATGTCTCTAGATCAGTAAATAATATACCTTGGTTTTTTTTTTTTTGCCGCGGTGCAGATGGGGATGAGCAGCTACGGTTGCAGACCTCCCTTTCTGGTTTGACACTGCACCCGCACAAATATGTTCTAGCCCGCGCCGTTTCCCACGCTACGCGCCGTTTCCCACGCCACGCGCCTTTTCAGATAGCGCGTTGTGGCACGTGATCCCGACACTTTCCCGCCACCGCTCTTCTGCCGCCCCGCTCCCGGGCGCGCAGCGTCCACTGTGCGTATAACATAAGGAGGCACTTCAATTCAGCCTCACACACCGCTATTATATCCCCCAGCGCGTTTGCCGTCGCGCCTTTGCACGTGATCCCGCCGCTTTCCCGCTACCCCTCCGCCCCTGCTCCGCTCGGCGGTGGGCCGCGTTCAATGTCTATGGAATACAAAGATTAACTTTAATACGCCTGTACATACCACTATCATTGGGGGAGCTTGCGACCCCAATTCTCTGACCGATCCCGAAAAACCGATGGCTGTGCAATGCACCTTTGATCGTTGTTCGTGTTTGGTCATGATCCCGTGATCGTTTGAGAAAAGATCTAAAATTGCCCATCAAGAGATTTGAACTGGATTTGAACCGCCATTATAATAGGATACTTAGGAGGGATTGCCGACAGACCCAGAGCTGGAATGGCTGGTGCCCATACTACCTACACAATGCCATGGCTTTGCGAGCTGTACATGTAGCGAGAAACTGAACGTTGGAAGCATGCCATGCCTCGGGGTTGACTACCGCAGCAAATAAGTAGCAGTGAGGGTCCTGAGAGAATTTGAGCAGATACAATTCCGAGATGCTCTCATGAAATTTCGGGGATACAAGAAGACCGGATACCGTTTTCGCCACAACTCTACGACAGAATTTCTTCTGCTCAGTGTGTCGAAGACTCAGGTGTTCAAAAATATCTGAACAAAGAGGTGGTAAAAAACCTCAATATAAACTTGGGTCAAGAGCTTGGGTGGAATTGCCTCTCAGACTTCTGTTTCTTGGAGCCAATTGAAGAGGCCAAATTTCGGTAAACGTCACAGTCAATGAGAATGTTGGAAGATGATGGTTTGAGCTTGGTTTACTTATGATATTTATTATGGATTCGGAGGGGCTCAGACAGGATGTATGTTACGAGGATTGATCACACAACTGCCTGCCTACAACTGAGATTTGGCAAGCTCCCCCACTTCTGTAGCCGGATGCCGGCATACAAAACATGCTTATCCCTCAGCGCGTTTCCCGTCGCGCCTTCCAGATCGGAGTCAATCACGTGATCGTACCGCTTCCCGCCACCGCGCCGCTCCCGGGTGCGGCGCCTCCAATAAATATATATATTCCTGGAAATTCCAACCCTACATACAGAGCAACTATAGGACGGCTGTTGTAGTAGATACGTCCCAAAAAACAATGCTATCACCCCTTTTTGGTATGGCCCTACCTCGAATCGAACGAGGTCCTCCGTCTCAACCCTTTGCTTGGTTTCGTAATTGAAGACAGCGTTGTTCCATTCAACCATAGGGCCGTTAGACTCAGAGGGCATTGCCAAGTCTTATGTGGGTTAGCATTTCAGCAGGGTAACATTTCACGAACTTGACATGTTCACAGTTCAGATGCTATGGATATACTGAGTACAGCCCGCGCCGCTGAATCAAAAAATATATTCCTAAGGCATACTGGAATCATCATGTACGAACGAGCGCCCGGTCAAAACTTGCGCTTCCACATTTCATAGTAAGTCGCCAATCCCTCCAGCATCCACACCGTGTCCTGTACCGCCTCTTCCCAACGAGCGCGATCTTCGGGCTTGGCACCATCCGACACCGCACAGCCCCAGAAATACAACGAGGCGACGAGACTCAAAGTCCCGTTGACGCCCCACACAAAGAGCTTGCCCCAATCCTTCCCATCTGGCCCGTATCCACCCGTTGTCGTCCAGCGTCCATCACCACCGGCGACTCGCCACTCAGGCTGCAAAGAACTCCACCATGACTCCCATTTTGCGGCGTAACCTGCCACATCCGTAACAACCGGCGCCGTCCCTCGTTTTTTGAGGTTGATCCAAGTCCCCACTTCCGCGGGGCGACTTCTCGACGCAAGGTTAGTCGGTCCCTGAACGAATTTCGACGCGTCTTCTACTCGTGTCCACGCAGCCACCAGCGCCTGGTAATGGCAGCCCAAATCCTCCCGGGTGATCTCCTTGAATGCACTCTCAAACCAAGGCGCCGCCTTCGAAGGAGGCGCACCATAAGGGCTTGGCACGGGTGTTGCCGGCCCGAGGGTGAGCACAGGAACACCAGATGTCGGAGTCGGGGGCAAAGATTGTCCACGGGTGGACGACAAAGCAGGAGTGGAGGATTGCGGCCATGCGGAGGGCGACATGGAGCCAGGCGCAGTCGGCGGGGGCAGCTCGTTTGCTATGTCTGTCGCGTCGGGGGCCTCGGTCGCTGTTCCTGTGTCGGGCGCCTGGTCCAGGCCCATTCCATCATTGTTGGCGTCGATCTCCACGTTGTCGATCTCCATCGCGTCGGAGCCCTGGGCCCTAAGCGGTGGCGTCGTTGGACTCGACGGCGCCGTGTCGGCTGAGTCGATGTTGCTCGTGCGCACTTCGTCGGGGGCCTGCGCGCCAAGAGGCGGCGTCATCGAACTCGACGGGGGCCCGCCTGCGGTGGAGTCGATGTCCATGACACTCACCTTATCCACGTTCCGCGCCGACCTGCGCTGAGGCGCCGCACCCTTCAGAGGGCGTGGTCGGGGTTGTTTCGCACGGGTCGTCTGTACAGTATTCATTGTTGCAGCGAAATCGGAATCCAGCGCAGCCAGCTTGGCTCGCGCTTCACGTATGTTCCGTTCCCGGTACTGGTCGTACGTCAAACCGTCCAGGTAGATCGGCACGGTCGAGCTAGAGGCGGCAGTAGAATCCACCGGAGTCTTCTTGCGCTTCTTGCGCGCATGGGCCTTCTTCTCCTGGTCAGATTCTTCATCAGACGACGAGTCCGAGTCGCTTCCAGAATCGGACGAATCCGAATCCGAGTCCGAGTCGCTGCCGTTTCCACTCAAGCCGTGGTCGCTGGCTATGGTGAATTTTGCCGCGTCTAAGGTCGCTGCTTGACCTGACAATGCTGACGACGTGCATTCCTCTTGGGCTTCACAGTCAAGTTAGTAAATAATGGATGTGAGCGAGCACTGCACTACTCACTGAACGCCGTCTGCAAGTACTCTACCATAAAATTAGAAACTTGCTCATTGAAACGTTTCTTGTCCCATTGAGCGAAAACCTGGGCGCCATGGGTGAGGTTTCGACCAACAGAAACGCTGGTCAAACAATTAGAACGTGTCCGCAGTCAGCGGCAAATAGAAGACGTACGTCATGGTACGCAACTCTCCCCCGTAACTAGGCATGGGCCCACCAAGCAAAAGTGTGGCATGCAGCCCGGTATGTTCTTGCACACCACGGAGAATCGGAGCCATGAAGTCAGCGACAGCATCGATACACCTGGAATCATCATCAAGATACGTTTCCACTGAAAACCGGGACTCACTTTTGACGCGCCTCCGGAGTCGTCGCAGGGGGATCTTTCAGAGCCTTCGTATATGCCGTCTTGGCTTCTGTCGCAGTCTTCCTCGCCCTGGCTTCAATTGCTTTCTGCTCCGCGCTCGGAAGCGCAGTGAAGACTTCGCGTGATACCTTGGCACAAAATCCCATCTTAGGGGCCTTTGACCGTTCTGACGCAGCGCCCCTTTCCTCCACATCCTCTGCCCACCTTTTTGCTACCACAGGCGCTATCTGCTCCGCGTATGATTCCTTCATGAATTGCTGAAAGCCTTGTCTTGCCTTGGGCGGTGCCGACAATCCACTAAGTTTTGCGAGCAGAACCGCGAATGGGTCTTTCAACGGATCCAAAACGGCAGAGCGTCGGTGTTTTCGGATGCGGCCAATACGGTAGGTGTACCAGCGTCGAATACGCTGTGGGCGATAGCATCAGTGCTCGTCGTCGTTTGTCACCTGTGACAATGTGACTGACCTTGTCGAGCAACTTCATTCGCGAGCGCTTCACCCCTTCTTCCTCGGCGGACAACACTTCAATCGGCCTAGGCTTGTTCAAGTCGAACTCCTGCAGAACAGGCTCCTCGTGGTCCTGTGTCGTCCACGGCACGCGTGCGTGAAACTCATTGCATATTCTTCGCAGATATTTTCGCTCCGCACGTCTGCCTTGGTCCAGTGCTTCACCATAAGCTTCCAGATGAGGTTTCAACACCTCCTCCCGTACTCCTTCCGCCCAAAGCCGTAAATTTTGCCGCTCGCCCTTCGGAATACGTTTGCTCTCGCGCTTTTTCTTGGCCATTGAATCCCTATCTTCTGTGCGCTCAGAGGCCGTTTCCTGCCAAATGGGCAACTACTGAACACTCACCTAGCAGTACTCTACCCGTTGCCGGGCTTCCAGATACTGGTGATGTGGCGTCTTAAAAAGGCAAGTTTATTCTATTCCTCGCCCTCGCGTTTTGCCTTAGCAATGCTGATCCAGGATCTCTTCAGATCTTGTTCTTACCCATTCGGCCCCCATCACGCGGAGTTCTAAATTCCCTTATAAAAACCCTCGCTTTCGCCTTAACTGACATCCACTCTTGCTTTCTTTCCCCCATGACTGATACTTTCTACACCGCTTCTGGAACAGGTTCTGTGCCAGCAGCGGCAACCACCCAGGGCAGCGACAGTGAGTTTTGTCTCCCTCTCCTTTCTTTCCTCAGCTCAATGTCGTTCACAGTCAACGCCGCTGCCCTGCAGCATCTCAATGCCGCCATGTTGAGCCTCTCCCAGGCCCATGGTAAGTTAGCGCCCTTATCCCTTCATCAATGTGCGACTAACAGTCCTTGGCTCTTTCTAGCCTCCCCGCCCGCGCCTGCTCCCGTTTCCCAACCCCCCGCGCCGCCCCCGAACCTGCCTGCCGCCCCCGTCGGCTTCCAGAATCACGGCCCATGGCTCGCGGGGGGCATGTACGTCGTCGTTCCCACCGGGCCTCTCCTTCCCGCGGCCCAGGCACCTGGCTCCGACGACACATGGTACTGCATTACGAAGGGCCACTACGTCGGCATCACCACCAGCAATGCCCTCGCTCTCAACGCTGTCGTTGGCGTCACCGGCAATGCCATGAAGAGCTACAAGTCGCAGTCCCTCGCCCTCCTCGCCTTCAACGACCTGCAGCGTTATGGGATGGTCGCCGTCGTTGCCTAATCGTCCGTTTTTCACCTTATCTGTTTCTTTCATCTTTTCGCTAATTGATCCTATTTCTCATAGGCTCGCGTATTATACCGTTTCCGTTCTGTAGTCGCGTAGTCTACCGTCCTCGTGTGTATCTAGCGAGATCTAGCTTCGTCGTCTCTGAAATTGTATTTTGATGCGTTCGAAAATTGGATTGATGCATCCAAAAATGGCCTTCATCGCCACCCTCTTCCTTTTGCGGATCGCAGCCGAGCCAAACGGAGACTGATCGTCTGTTTTTTTGTGCCAGATCTCATCACCACACTTGTTCCTCAGTTCTTACCCGCATCCAGTTACTTGCTCCAACCACTTCGCCTAACATCCGCATCCAGCTACCTACGTCGAGCCGATTCCCCGAATGGCCGCCTTTGCCTGATTGTTCTGATGAACATACAAGCCATGCGACTCACATTCTCCTCCTCTTTCACCCACCCACGATGCGTCACGACGACGACGACGACACACAAGATCCGGACGACGGCGAGCTTTTGTCTATGCTCGATCGTCTCAACCTCCGTGAACGTGCCGCCGCCGAGGTCGTTGTTACACCGCCCCGTACCCCGCCGCCTCTACCGCAGTCGCCCTCTACCTTGCCTCCTCGTCATACATTCCCATCCACTCGGGCCCGAACGTACACCACCCCCAATGCCGAGCGATCTACCATCTACCACATTCAATCACCCAATTTTGAAACATTCACGCGCCATTGGTACGTGTATACTTCACTCGACAAAGACTGAGTTTAATATTGTTATTTTCAAGGTCGACGGCAGGTGCCGCCACTCAAGGCGTGGCCGGCGCGCACGTCCATGCTGTTCAAATGCCCAGCCCCAGCAAATACAAACATTCCAAGAAGGCGGCCTACGTCGTATTTGTCGGCACAAACTATGGGGTTTTTCTTACATGGTGAGGTGATTTCCCTTGGGCATCATCATACCCTGCTCATCTGTGGATTTAGGGCCGAGACTCGAGCCCTCGTTAACGGCGTATCAGGCTGCATCTTCCGCGGATACACCACGCTCGCTGAAGCCCGGGCTGCCTTTGCCTACGCTGAAGCCCGTCAGTGGATTCGCATTGCTGGCACGCCGCCGACGGTCGGTATCGACGTCCCTCAGCCTAATATGTCTTATCACAACCCTCTGAACGGCAACGAGACCCTCGACAGCCTTTGGTATGTCGTCTATCGAGGAATCTTCCCTGGTGTATATCGTTCCCAGTAAGAATCTTCCTCTTTTGCCATCACCTCCTGCTCATCTCCCCACACA